AAATTTAAACGGATTTCTTTTAAAGGTATCCCCCACGAACACAGTTACTGAAAGATGCAAGCTATATGATTCGGGTTTGACTTGAAGCAATGCTGCTTTGAGGACAATAGTAAGGTGCCTTTGGTATTAAAATGGTGGGAACTAAAATCATAGCCATGTAAATGTGTATGAATTAGTCATATTGCTTGTAAGATTATAATCGTAGTATTAATCTGTAATGTATATAATCCCATCACTAACAGGTAACAAGTGTGTAGATAGGTAAATAAGAATCATAATTAATAAAGGCCATCTACCCGGAGATCCTAGTGGCAGTAGGTTCCTTGGTTCTCGGACCAAATCTTCCACGCCCTCTTTTGAGCAGCCTTCATTTTTGGTTGTTTTTTGGCGGTGAAACATGTCTTTTAGATTTAGTACCATTTTTCACCGTCACAACGTTAGTAATCATAAATACTAAATTACGCAATCGGATCATAGTGACGTCATAATGTATTAAACCATTTTTTAACAGATTTAAATCAAATAAACGTGATTTTTTAAGATCGTGTTTTAAAAACATTTGCCATCCCTATTCGAATTATTAAAATGTTATGGGAATAGCTGAAATTATCCATTATCTTGTACACTATTTTGATCACTATAAAACGTGCGCAAAATTTCCGAGTTTTTTATGGCAATGGTTTTTTTTATAGGAAATTAGAAATCACGGCCGTAAGCAGTAATTTTTATTAATGATACGTAATAGCATTAGACTATGTATATTTGATCGTATATATTATTATAAAGAACGGGAATTTCCGCCTGATGAAAAATTTTAGTTGACTTCATTGAATGGAAATTTCTGATATTTACAATAAGTTTTGTGCTCTGTTATGAAATCACATTTAATTGAATGCGACATGTAAATATCGAATATCAGATATTATTTTAATGCTACTAGTTACCAACCTACGGTTATATAGCAGCTACGCTACGATTTGTTGTAAATAATTCAATATAACATCATCACTAGTAAGATTACAAGATTTTATTATAAACGAATTCCGAAATACCAAAATTGGGTTCATACAATTATTCTCCAATATTAAGATATTTTATTATTTTGGATGCAGATTATTTGCCTTCCTCAGATCTGTTTCTGCTTCATCGTATTTTTCAAACATCCTATTTAAAATTGCGCGACCACAATACGCCTCTGCCTGTTCTAATTTGTCCAATTCATATTTTGGATTGAATTCATCTATTGTACTAAATTCATTAAAAACCTCTTTATATTTTCCCATTAATCTATAAAGTGCTCCACGTTGCCAGTGTATATATGGTTCATTTGGATTTAATTCAATTGCTTTTTCCAAGTCTTTTTGACTTTCTGTATACCTTTCGCATTTTAAATAAAGTGCTCCACGGTATGCAAGGCAGAATACGTTAGTTGGATTCAATTCTAGTGCTTTATTGAAATCTTTTAATGCTTCATCATAGCGTTTAAGCATATACAAAGTTGCTCCGCGAAGTCATTGCGTATAAGCATCTATTTGTTCAATTTCTGATGTTTTGTTAAAATCTTAAATCTTCAAGTGATTCTTTGAATTTTCCTAATAATCGATAGACTTCTCAACTTTTCAATGAAGATACATTAGTTGGTTCTATTTCTAATAATTTATTGAGATCATTAAATGATTCTTTAAACATTTCCATCAATCGATAAATTTCTCCTCGATTTTTTAATATTAATACATTATTTTGATCAATCTCTAGTAATTTATTATAATCTAGAAGTGATTCTCTATAACTGCCTATCATCTAGTAAATTGTACTTCTAAGTGTTAAAGTCAATAAATTTTTCTAATATCTTGCTAAAGTCTTTAAGTGATTTCTTGTATTCATGCATCACCATATGGTGAACCTCTAGTCGTCAGGGCCAATAAATCAATCATTTGGCTCACTTTCTAATACTTTATTAAAGTTTTCAAGCGACTCTTTATATTTTCCCATTAAACAAAGTACTTCTCCGCGTTGCTTCAATAAAAGTACATTATTTGAATCAATTCCGAATACTTTATTAAAATCTTCAAGTGATTTTTGATTATTTCCCATAATGAAATAAATTCCACCGCGAACACTCAATATAGATATATTATTTGGATCAATTTTTAAAAATTTTTCAATATCAATAAGTGATTCTTCGTAATTACCCATTTCTTTGTGAATTAACATTCGCATTATCAGGGCCAATAAATCATTTGGATTGATCGTTAATAAATGATTAATATCAGCAAGTGATTCTTAATACATCTTCATTTTTAAATAAATTTCACTTCTATTTTTTATTGCTGATGTATTATCTGGTTCATTTTCTAAACATTTATTTAAATCGTCCAGTGACTCCACATATCTTTCCATCAGCCGATATACTTCACCCCGAACACTCAAAATAAACGATTTTTAGGTTCAATTTCTAATATCTTAATAATACTATAAATTTTTATTCTATGATAGAAGGACGTATTTTTTGAAATATCAGTTGATTGCAACTTTGAGTTTTTATCGTGCCCTTCTAAAACTTCGATATTAGCAATATCACCCGAAGTGAATGGACTTAAAGTGGTTTCATTACTACTCAAACCAGTTTTTGAGTTCGTGCGTAAACAAGTCAATAAGCCCTCTACACCATCAATATTTTTCAATAAATTTACATCCTTAGAGTTTATCAATCTTGATAAGATTTGAGGAGTAAATGCGAACGGACTAATATACTCTTCGTAGTCAGGAAAGTCACAACATTCTTCATGCATACTCTGATTAAATTTTATCTTTAGTATTATAATATACTTTCAATGTATATGCTTTGAATTATTAAAGTGTCAAGGGAAAACCAATTTTCATGGAGAATGGAATAATCCAGTAATATAATAATAAAACCAGAACAAACGAATTAAGAAAGCTATTAGATTCCCAAAGAGAAAAATAACGGGTTTTAATATCTATATATATTTTTTTAATAAACGTATATTATAAAAATTGGTAAAACTAAAAATAAAGTATAATTATTTCAACATAGCTTTGTAAAAGAAGTGTTATGACTTCTTTTTACCAAGTTTGGTGTCAATTAAGGCTAAATAACCATTTAAATCTTTTAGAATGTGTTTGTGGTCTAGCTTCGAATATAGTTTACTAAATATTGTTATGCATTGAAATGAGCATCATGCGCCTTATCATTGAATGGTTACATATCATAATTTTATAAAAAATTTATTAATAAAAAAATATGTAATATTGCAAATTTTTATGGAACTAGACGTATGTACGTACGTGATGCAAACAAAAAATCTGTGCCAGGTTTTGTAGCAGCAAAATTTTTTAAAGTTCATTAAGTGTCGTGCTGACGACCAACACCCTTGTGTTGATATTGCTAGGGTTAGGTACGATCACGGGTTACCCGATCGTGACTGGGTAACGACAATGGCGTGATCGTTGATGCATGAATTTAATTTATAGTCTATTTGTAAGTACT